ATCTTGTGACTAAGACGGGAGTACCACGCCCGGGGGGCTTGCTTCAAGCCATAGAGTGTTTTATCAAGTTTGCACACAAATGAAGGATTAGATTTGCTCTCAAACCCAGGAGGGTGTTTCATGTACACCTCTTCTTCCAGAACACCATGGAGAAACGCGTTCTGCACGTCTACCTGTCTGAGACTACATCCTCTAGACACAGCAATAGAGAGAACAAGTCTGATGGTAGAGCCTTTCACAACAGGGCTAAAGGTATCCTCATAATCAATACCATATCTCTGTTTAAACCCTTTTGCAACAAGCCTCGCTTTGTATCTGTCAACAGTTCCATCAGATTTTCTTTTAACTCTGAACACCCACTTGCAATCTATAAGATTTTTACCTTGCCGTGGGGGAACCAAATGCCATGTTTTATTTTTCTTTAGTGCCACATATTCTTCCATCATTGCTTTTCTCCATCTTTCATCTCTGACTGCCTCATCCAGAGTCCTCGGTTCAGCTTGTTCATCTGTAGAGCAAACTAGGCCATATTTACTCAAATGTTTGTAATTAAGAGGTTGAGTTACACCTTTTTGCAGCCGTGTGAGCCGCGATCCCGCCACAGAATCAGCCGGCGCAGGAAATCCCGAATCATGCACAGGAGTTGCTGGTGCAGGTGATCCCGAGGTAGATCCGCTCGGCACCCGCGCCGGATCTTCTGTGGCTCCAGCGTGCAACAGAGAAGCTGTTTCTGCCACAGAGGATCCTGGGTAGCCAGCCGGCTCATCATGGGCACATGATTGCGCGGGGCCACGCGAATCAGCACCGAGACCCGCGCCCACCTGGCTGGATGGCTCAGCGCTGGGCCCCACGTTGGTCGGCTGCACCTGGGCGCGCCGCTTGTAGCAGCGCGGTTCGGCAGGGAACCGCGGGCCTCCCGAGCCATCAGAACGTCGCCACGTGGAGCCTGGTGATTGGAGCGGGGCCAACGGAGGACTGCCGCCACCCGAGAGCTGGCGCATGGCGCGCGCAGAGCCGCGGGAGTCCGTGCGGGCGGCAGGTTCTGCTGCTGTCGGGTCTGACGCGTCTGCAGGCGCTGATCCCGGCGCAGATCTGCTGCCCTACTGCTGATTCGGCGATGATCCCAAGGAGGATCTGCTCCCCAATTCTGGACACAACAAATATGGCACTTGGAGGCCAATTTCTTCATGATTCTGCTCAATTTCTGCATCATTTTTCTCACTGTTTGTTCCTGCGACATCACAAGAGGACTCATTGACACCATTAGGAGGGTTAGTCAGCATTGGATCATCACAAGTATTTCCCCCTTGATCAAGGCCGGGGAGATGGGATGGCAGGAGGAGGATTTCTTGGCGAAGCAAAGCACCGGCGTTGGGATGTAGGTCAGCAAAGGAAAACTTTGTTTCGTCAAAAACAACATCACGTGATATATAGACGCGCCTGGTGGATACATCTAGGCATTTTACACCTTTGTGTTGAGCGCTATACCCGATAAAGACACATTGTTTTGAGCGAAACATAAGTTTGCGTTGATTATATGGACGAAGATTTGGCCAACATGCACACCCAAAAACACGAAGTGTTGTGTAGTCAGGTTTAGTGTGGAGTAGCCGTTCTATGGGAGTTTCATTATTGATAACACGACTAGGATGCATGTTAATGATGTGAATGGCTGTGAGGAAAGCTTCATCCCAGAATTTGAGAGGCATGGAGGCGCCAGCTAAAAGAGCTAAACCGACCTCAACAATGTGTCGGTGCTTGCATTCGGCAGACCCGTTTTGTTGGTGAGCGTGGGGGCATGGCACATGGTGAGAGATGCCAAGAGTTTGAAAGAAGGAATTTAATTTCTCATATTCTCCACCCCAGTCTGATTGGACAGCAAGTATCTTGCAGTCAAACTGGCGTTCAACGAGTGCTTGAAAGTTTTTAAAAACTTTAAAAACATCGGATCATTTCTTGAGAAGATAAATCCAAGAAAACTTACTATAGTCATCAATGAAGCTCACATAGTATGTATGTCTACCAACTGAGGTGGGGGCAGGACCCCACACATCGGAAAAGATTAATTGCAATGGTTTGGTAGAAACACTCGTAGAAATAGGATAAGGTAGCTGATGACTCTTAGCTCGTTGACAAGAATCACAAATAGTTTCAATATTGCGCTCACCAACAAACGGGAGCTTATTCTTTCTAAGCAATTTTTCAACTAAAGAAAAAGAAGTGTGTCCTAGACGATCATGCCATCGTGTGGATGAAAGCTTGATAGCACCACAAGCTTGTTTATTCAGTCTCCTAAGCTCCGGAATCAACGGATAGAGTCCACGAACACATCTACCTCGGTAGAGGATGCTCTTCGTCTCCTGATCCTTGATCAAAAAGAAATAAGGGTAAAATTCAAGAAAAACATGATTATCAAGGGCAATTCTATGGACAGAAAGGAGACTCTTGTCGGTGTTGGGAACATGCAAAATTTTCCTAAGATGGATTTTACGAGAAGGGGTACTAAAACTTGAATGACCAATATGACGGATCTCCATACCTTCACCACTAGCTGTGTGGATTTGGTTCTTGCCGCGGTATTTCTCCTTCATGGTCACCTTCTCGAGCTCGTTGGTGATGTGGTTGGTGGCGCCGCTGTCGACGTACCAGTTGGTGTCGATGCCGTAGGAGCCATCCGCAGCCGCCGCCACCTTGTCATCATCTTGAGAGGAGTCGTCATCCTCTTCATAGCGGTACCAGCAATCTTTTGCTGTGTGCCCCGACTTGCCGCATATCTGGCAACGAGGAGCATCAAGACGTGCGCGAGGGTTGCCGCCGCCGCGGCGAGTTTGGTTGTTGGAGGAAGAACGCCCGCCGCCAGTGCGGGAGTTGGGACCGCCGCCGTTGCCGCCGCCACTGGACCTCCCCCTGCCACGGGAGAAGCCGCCGCGCCGAGAGGAGCCACCACGACCGCGAGAGGCCGAGTTCGCGGAGGATTTGAAGACGCCGCCGCTGGACCCGTGGAAGTGCACCATCCTCTGATCAAAGTTGGAGAGCATAGCGAACAGCTCGTCGAGGATGACAGGGGTCACACGAGCGTCCAGAGCAGAGATCAGAGGCTGGTAGTCAGCATCGAGGCCGTGGATGATGTAGGAGATGAGCTCGTCGTCGAGGATCACCTTGCCCGCCGCGGCCAGCTCGTCGACGTAGCCACGCATGGTGGCAAAGTAGGAGGCAATGGAGAGGTTGCCCTTCTGCGCATTGATGAGAGAGGTGCAAATATTGTTGATTCGACTCACCGATTGCGACGAGTACATGCCGGCGAGCGTCGTCCAGAGCGCACTCGCGGTGGTGACCGTGGTCACCGTGAGGAGCACCTCCTTTGTGAGGTTGCCCAGCAGGTAGCCAAGGACCTGCTGGTCCTCCCGGACCCAGATTGGGTGGAGAGGGTTGGGCGTTGAAGTCTGCTTGCCTTCCTTGTCGGTGGTGACGAGCAGCTTTGCCGGCTCCGGCTGGGTGCCGTCGACGTAGCCGAAGACCCCGGCGCCACGCAGTTGGGGAATCATCTGCGTGCGCCACAGCACGTAGTTCGTGCGGGATAGCTTCTCGGTGACCTGGCCATTGAGACTAGCCGGGAGGGAAGCGCCGGAGGAGGAAGACATGGTAGCTTTGGCACAGATGGGTTTTGGTAGCTAGATGAGTTGAAGAAGAGGGGCTCTGATTACCATGTGCGAGCGGTCAAACGTCTTACCCTTCTAGGGGCGACGTGTTCATGTTATATAGGAGGGAGCCAAAACCCTAGATGGCTTTACATGGTGCGGTTACAAGAGATAAGAGAGAATCAAGATATAACTTGAGAGAGAAGAAAAAGGGGGAGATAGTTACAGCAATATCTCATTCAAACTACCTCCTAGCTCTATCTCTATATCTCAACAATATACCAACCGCATAGGTGTTTAACAAATGACAGAGCATGAGTCAGTCAAGATTTACAAAGGATTCGACAATGTTCACCATCAAGTGGGCAGGTACGTGTAAACAAATTAAGCCAGAAGAACCTCTACCTAATAGGACCAATAATTGCAACTGCTTTGCCTTGTTTATTTGATTATATGTTTCAGTTTTTTCTATCACAGGTCACTGTTATACAAATTGGTTAGGAAGCACTAATCCACTACGATCTACGAACGCCAAGACCCAAATATCTCTTCTGGCATCTACTAGAGCCGAGCAATAACCAAGCAACTGCTTGGCCTCTTCCTTTTGTCAGTGATAGGTTTTTTGTAAACAAAACAAGGATTAAATTTATAGTGCTAACGCGCGTCTTATGTTATTTTACTAGCCAATAATTGCACAGCTTGTTATAACATATCACTACAAAAACAAAAGGCAACAGCGTGTGAAGATATAACAATGACAGTGTTGGGACTAGTATTAAGCAGGCGGGCATCCTTTTCCCCCAGCCCACTGATCCGATTCCTCCGATCCCTTCTCGTCTCTTCTCACCGGCGTTCAAGCTTCTCCTCGCCGGGCAAGGTGCCTGGGTTACTCGGCGGCGGATCCGGGCTAGGTATACCCCCATCTCCCATTACTGTGCTTCAGTCTGGCCGGCGCGTCCTCTCGTTGGCGTTCTGTACTCTGCAGGTTGTTCGGTGCAGCAATGATTGGCTTTATCTACTTTAATCCATCCTCTTTCCTTTCCAGGGTTTCAGATCGACTACGCGGAGGATATTTTCCAGCTGATTCAGATCAGTTAATCCGTTCTCTTTCAGTGTACACCGTCAGTTCGTTGGTCCGACTCTGCTAATTACAGAGAAAAATCCAGCTTCCATCATCCTCGTATGCCACTGCCGCCCAAACACAGTGTCGATTTATAGCTTTTTCAGTGTAATAATGCTTGCACATAGTGGCTTACATCGATTAATCCTATTTTCAGGCTGTTGATTGACGACACGCTCGGTGAATTCTGAGGACTAGAGCTCCACGCAGAATCCACCCGCGAGCTCTCGGCTACCGTGTCCATGGAGGTGGCTCTCGTGAGTGTGGCGACGGGGGTCCTCAAACCTGTTCTGGAGAAGCTGGCCACCCTTCTTGGCAATGAGTACAAGCGATTCAAGGGTGTGCGCAAAGAGATCAAGTCTCTCAGTCATGAGCTGGCCGCCATGGAGGCTTTTCTCTTCAAGATGTCGGATGTGGAGGATCCTGATGTACAAGATAAAGTGTGGATCAATGAGGTGCGGGAGCTCTCCTATGACATGGAGGATGCCATTGACGACTTCATGCAGAGCGTCTGTGACAAAGACGAAAAGCCAGATGGCTTCATTGAGAAGATCAAGAACTCACTAGGGAAGTTGGGGAAGATGAAGGCTTGCCGTCGAATCGGCAGAGAGATCCAGGATCTGAAGAAACAGATCATTGAGGTGGGCGGGAGGAATGAAAGGTACAAGAGTCGCGAGGCCTTCTCCAAGACTGTCAATGCAACCGTTGACCCTAGAGCTCTTGCTATATTTGAGCATGCATCGAAACTTGTTGGAATCGATGAACCCAAGGCTGAGATAATCAAATTATTGATGGACAACAATGGGTTTGTGTCAACACAACAAAAAACAAAGATAGTCTCCATCACTGGACCTGGAGGAATGGGCAAAACAACTCTTGCTAACCAAGTGTATCAAGAGATCAAAGGCCAGTTCAAGTGTTCGGCCTTCCTATCTGTGTCGCGAAGCCCGGACATGATGAATATCCTGAGGACTATTCTTAGTGAAGTTAGCGGTCAAGATTATTCTAACACGGAAGCAGGGAGTGTACAAATACTCATTAGCAAGATCAATGACTTCCTACTAGATAAAAGGTTCATCCAATCCTTATCTTTTCCTTCCATTTCTACTTACTTGGCGTTCTTTGAATGTATAAAAAAGTTACGTAGATATGTAATTAGGAAGATTATACTAGTAAAATTTGTTAAAAAGTTCCATATAATTCTATCTTCGCAGTTTCTCCATATGTTGTTAGAAAAAGTAATGATCAAATGCTTGTACTAATAAATACTGTGTACAAAGAAAACCATGTCAGGAGCCTATGTTCATGATTTATGTCCTTTTGTTTTCATATTCTATGATCTTCAAGACATAGGCACATAGCTGTTCCCTTTATTGAGCAATAATTGACATAAGTTTTTATCAAGAGTAGAGCCCCAAACACTCCATTTTCTCAAAGTCCTAACACCTTGGCTAACTTTTATTTCTAATTCTTCATGAGCTCCCTTAACATGATAAACTATAATTTTTTGTGCACTTTACCTCATGACCGGTTTTGGCTAGTAAGTTTGATGATATAGATGCTAGTTTTGCAAGTGTGCCATCCACGTTACCCTGGTTTTCACATGAAAGCTACCACACACATGACATTTTTCCACCTCCACCTCTCCCTTCTCTGGGCCTCTTTTCTCTTGAGACCGGATGCACCGTGCCTCAATTCACTCTTCGTCCTCTTCTTTCTCCCCCCGCCAACCGAACACCGCACTGCTCCATTGAGACCAGCTCTATTCAGATTCGCTGGGCCTCATCCACTATTGTTGGCCTATACAGCCATCCATCACCAACCATGTAGTTGTCCAAAATAAAAATATATTATATTTTACTAGGTTAAGTGAGCCTAATTGTTATAATCTCTTTGTTATAATGGGAAAGCATGCCCAAATAAGTAGTCCAGGAGGGAAAAGATACATTTTTTGAGATATTATGTATGTACGTACTTTACTCGGTTTTGAATTTAGATCACTTGATCTTTGGGTCTGCACTCAGATTATTGCTTTGTTAGTGACCACTTGATCCAGGCCTACATATGATTATTCATCTTTTGATTCATCTCTTGTCTTTCAACATATTGTTCTAGTCTTGATCTTTTTTTGTGCTCATGCCTCTTGTTTAAACAATTGCTTACCCCCCTTGCTCTCTGTAATGCGCCAAACTAACATGGACGTGCAAAAAAGAATGAAGTATGTACATATGCCTCTTTTAGCACTTGTGTGTTTATCCTTTTCATTTTGTTAATGTTAACATGTTCCGTTTATTCTTTGCCTATCCACGCAACACTTTTTTTAGGAACACAACACTTTATTTTATAGCTATGCTAATATTTATCTATGTACAGGTACTTTGTTGTTGTTGATGATATATGGGACGTGGATACATGGGATACTATTAAGTGTGCATTCCCGGAGGCCAGTTCTACCAGTAGAATAATCACCACTACGCGTATGAACAATGTTGCACATTCAAGTTGTTCATCATTCAATGGCCATATTTATAATATAAGGCCCCTTGACATTGTCCGCTCAAGGCAATTATTTCATGGAAGACTATTCAAATCCGAAGAAAATTGCCCTCCATACCTTCAAGAAGTTTCTAATCAAATCTTGAAAAAATGTGATGGGCTACCATTGGCGATCATCGCTATATCTGGTTTGTTGGCCAACACAGAAAAAACAGAGGATCTATGGAATCAAGTGAAAGAATCAATTGGCCGTGCACTTGAAAGAAATCCGAGTGTTGAGGGAATGATGAAGATATTGTCACTTAGTTACTTTGATCTGCCTCCTCATCTCAAGACGTGTCTCTTATATGTGAGTATTTTTCCAGAAGATTCTTTTATTGGGAGGAATGATCTTATAAGGAGCTGGATAGGTGAAGGATTAATTCATAAAGAAGGTATGTATAATGTACATAAGATAGGGGAGAGGTGTTTTAACGAGCTTCTCAATAGGGGTCTGATCCAACCTGGGGAAACCAATAAACATGGTATGGTGAAGAGTTGTCGAGTTCATGACACAATTCTTGATTTTATCATATCCAAGTCTATAGAAGAGAACTTTGTCACTTTACTTTGTGCTCCCATTTTGACAACTGGGACACAAAGAAAAGTCGTCCGTCGACTCTCTCTACAAGGCGTCAAGCAAAGAAATTCATCAATAACCATAGCTGGTCAGGTGTTGTCTCATGTCAGGTCACTTAATGTGTATGGAGATTCTGTCGAAATCCCTTCTTTGGAGGAGTTCAGACACGTTCGCGTTCTTCACTTGAAGCATTGCTACCAATTGAAAGAGTGTAATCTTGAAAATATAGTGACGTTGTTCAAGCTGAGGTACTTGAACCTCGCAGAGACAGGAATAAGTGAGCTCCCAGAACAAATCGGGAATTTAGGGTGCTTAGAGATGATGGACCTAAGATTCTCCGGTGTAAAGGGATTACCTGCATCTATTGTTAATCTCATAAAATTGTCGCATCTACTTGTTGACGGTGATGTTAAATTTCCTGATGGGATTGCGAAGATGCAAGCATTGGAGACGTTGAAAGTGGTGAGGGTTTCCTTGCAGACATTTGACTTCCTATGCGGTCTTGGCCAACTAAAGAATTTGAGCAATCTGGTCTTGGAGTTTTCCAAAGTTCATTGTGACACTGAGGATATAGATGAAGTTGGGGGGTGCAACGAAGCAATTGTCTCTTCCCTGTGTCAGTTAGGCACCCAGAACCTTCACTCCCTGACTATTCGGCGTGGGAGCGGGCTCTTACAAGAACCCTTATGCATGCTTACCCTCAAGAAGCTTACTACCCGGGGTTCAGTCGTCTCACGGGTTCCAAATTGGGTGGGATCCCTCAGAAACATTCAACAGTTATGTCTTCAAGTGGACGGAGTCAAGCAGGATGATCTCTGCATCCTTGGAGCCTTACCCACCCTGCTCATTTTGCATCTGAAGGAAGTAACAAAGCCAAATGAAATGCTCAGAATCTGTGGTGAAGTTGGGTTCCTATTCTTGAGGATGTTTATTTATGATGCAAATTCTCACCCTGTAGATCTGATGTTTGAGGCAGGATCCATGCCCAAGCTAGAAATGCTCGAGATTATTTGTTGGCCCGTACTTGAAGCTGACTCTATGGACTTTGGAATTGAGAACCTCCCCTGCCTCCGTACTATCAAATGTGAAGCAAATAATAGTGATGCCATTGTTGGAGCCATAAAGACTGCCATCGAAAGAGCAGCCAGCACACATCCCAACCACCCTAGTCTACTCTTTGGGAGAGTTGCTTCTGCTTCTCGTCTGGACGGCTGATTCTGAAGTTTAATACTAGTGTTTCGCTCGATTCGTCTCTCTTTTATGATACAGCAGTTCACAGTATTCTCTCCGTCGTGTAATGTACCATGAATAATGATACAAAATTGTAGAATTGGTTAAGACTGCTACTGTAGTGCATTTTCTGTAATAATCAGTCATCCGCACATGTTGCCATCCTCTTTGGCAAGTCTTCATTCTGTAGCTGTACTGGTAATACATTTTCTGCTTTTCTCTTTTATCCACCTGTATGTAGTCGTCGTGCTCTTTTATGAAGCAAGATTTTGTGGCCCTGTTACGCTCTGCTTCTTCTCAATTGTTCTCTCAACAATTCGGATGTTGTTATATATGTTTTCTTACAGTTGTTTACATCTTATAATATAAGCCTGTCAACTGGTATGTATTACTGTCAATGTAATCTTGATTTTACAGTTCGTCTGTTAATCAATTGCAGTGGTAAACAGATCAGTACTGGCTGATTATTGGGCACCTGAGTGTTTTTTTACTGAAAAAGCACTTGAGTGTTGTGGCTGATCAATGGTGTTGGAAACCATCTTGAGGTCAGATTAATTCCTGCTGTCAACAATCCCAGTTCAGAGTTGTCATTCAGAAAATGTGTGCTCTTTCTGAATGGGTAAACTGTCTTCAGTTCAGTCTATCCCTTGAGGAGACCGGGCGTTTGTACAAAAGTTTCTTTGTCAGAATCAGTTGAAATACTGCACTGGCGGATGAGACACCTTGTGAGCTTTGTACAGCATCCAGATTGTCATTCAAAAAATGCGTATGTTTGTTCTGGTTGTTGTCTCTCCCGGCGTCCCTATTTAGCAGTTGCACGCTTCATCCTCCAGTTACAGATTAGTGCATATACGTAATGTGCCGGCAGTTTTTAAACTGGATGAAGCCATTTTGTTCTTGGTTAGTTATTTCCTTCAGGGAGTTCTTCCGCAAACTAGACGTCAAGGAAGCTCAGTGCCCCTGTTGTAGTATTATCCTGGACTTGAACAATTCATGAGATCTTCTCGTTTTCTCGACGACTTCCATGATGTTATATATGCTTGCAGTCTTCCACACTTCAATGTAAGGTTGCTATATAGTAGTATTGCTGCTGTTAAAAATTTGATGTTACCAATCATTAATTGATTTTGCAGTAGCAGATGATTATTGGTAGCTAGCTACTCTCCAGATGCTTGAGGACAGCAGATGATTATTTCTGTGTCCTGGCTGATGTCGGAACGGAGACACTTTGTTTCGTTGCCTCATGTACTCATGATCAGGCTGCCTGTCTCTTCAGCTCATGGCACAAGTTCGTGTAGGCTGCAATTTCAAAAGTTCATCGCTGTTCCGGAGATCGATGGGTCTGGTCGGTTCATCGTTTGTCTGCATGCAGTGGATGTGTCTAAGTTTCAGTCAAGGTGCCGTTTCTGCAGGTGCTTATTCAGTTCTACTATCTTTAGTGTTACTGAGATGCAAGCACTGCTGCTAGTTCGAAATTGGCTGCGAGAAAGCTAATTACTCCCTCCGTCTCATAATATAAGAACGTTTTTTACTTTAAGTAATGTCAAAAACGTTCTTATATTATGGGACAGAGCGAGTAACATGCAGATTCCTCTCTGTTTGTATACTGCACTGCCATTCAGATTGTGATTTTCCTTCTTTTTCCAATGTACATCTTGGAGATGCTGCAAAGAAGACACTCTGTTTCCTGGCTAATGCCGGACACACGCTTCAAGGGTGAGTTGCTGCTGGCTCCAGGCTCCTCCTCATCCACTTCGCATGTTAATTTTTCTGAGTTTTCAGGTACAAACATTTTCCTCATTTTTAGTGATGAGTGGGTGCTGGAGTAGTTGTTTGCGTCTTGACCGTACGTCGTGGCAATCACGATCTTTAGAATTTTCTCCATTCGTGCCTTCCACTTGTTTTCTGCACAACGATGGGCTACACAAGCTCCACTTGATTGACACTCCAAAGGATTACAAGTGTGGCGAGGTACACACGCTTTGCTGGCTAATAAACCTGCACACATAGATATTTCCATCCTCTCCTTGCTCCTGCGCCACTGCACAAGTCTCGCTGCTGCTGCCGCTGCTGTTGCATGCCTCATGCATCGCCGGAGTCTGGTCGACGGCGGTATCCCGGTAAGTACGACTGCATCCATCTGCCCTGCCATGCTTTTTTCTTCTCTAGTCCAGTATGATGCCGCCACCAAGGGATCGATGGAGTTGTTGTTTGGAGAATTTAGGCTTACTTGCATTATGATAATCCAGAAAATTTATATCGTGATTTTTGGAAGTTTTCTTAAGACAAATGCGTATTTTAAAATATAATAAAAAATATTGTGTTGGTAACGATGCTCATAATGAAAAATTCAAAAGTTTGTCGCTCCTTGTCTAAGTCTCAGCTTGATGCCATTGAGGTGGATTATGATCAGTTATCCAACATTTCAACAAGCTTTTGCCTAAAACCAACTCGATTCTGTCTGTTTTGGTCGCTATTTTTCCACGGCAGATTATAAGTTGAGCACAAAAAAAATTCAGCAACCGCAAACTGGCCCATGGACGTACGACAGCTTTCAGAAGACCGAAGAGAGTGATTCACATTATACAAAATAACTGATGATGTAACTTTTCTACATGTATTTCTTTTATCATATTTCTGTTTTTTTGGGTCTGTTGCTATATCTAGACTTTGGAGACTATTGTACCGGCAACCGTAATCTTGAGAATTTTCTTCGTTCTGTTCTGGCCTATGCATGCCTCTCACCCGTTTATTAATTGTCAGTGCATTTAACGATCTACGAGCTCCATGGCCGCAAACTAACTGAGCTAGCACGTCCTGCGACGCATGGAGGTGGCTCTTGTGAGTGTGGCCACGGGGGCCCTTAACTCCGTCCTGGAGAAGCTGGGCACTCTGCTAGTCGACGAGTACAATCATCTCAAAGGGGTGTGCGGTGAGATTAAGTTTCTAACTGATGAGCTTACTGCCATGCATGCCTTTCTCCTTAAGATGTCGGAGGAGGAGGATCCTGACGTGCAGGACAAGGTATGGATGACCATGGTGCGGGAGCTCTCCTATGATATAGAGGACTCCATTGACGACTTCATGCAAGGTCTCGACGACAAAGACGCTAAGCCAGATGGCTTCATAAAGAAGATCAAACACATTCTGGGGACATTGGGGAAGAGGAAGGCTCACCATCAGACGTTCCAAGATTTGAAGAATCAAGTCATTGAGGCGGGCGAGAGGAATCAAAGGTACAAGACAACTCAGGCCTTCTCCAACACAAAAAATGCAACCGTTGACCCTAGGGCTCTTGCTATCTTCGAGGATGCCTCAAAGCTTGTCGGTATTGACGAACCCAAGGCTGAGATAATCAGATTGTTGACAGAAGGGAAAGTATATGCGCCAGTGCAACAACAACAACCAAAAATACTCTCCATCGTTGGATCAGGAGGAATGGGCAAGACAACGCTTGCAAACCAAGTGTATCAAGATCTTAAAGGAAAATTTGAGTGTCGGGCTTTCGTATCAGTGTCACAAAATCCGAACATGAAGAAAATCTTGAGAACTATTCTCAGTGAAGTGGCAAATAAAGATTATGCCCATACCAAAGCTAGGGATGAACAACAACTTATCTCCAAGATCTCTAGTTTCCTTGTTGACAAAAGGTACTATCTCACTCCAAACTCATATATGTTTGTCATCCTTGAATGTATAAAAAACGTTATTTAGATATACCACATGAAAATTCCATGTGTAAACCTATGACCAAAATAGTTCGACCATTTTTTTAATATGTTATGACAAAAGATAATCATAAAATTTGTATTGTTTTTAAAATTCACAGAAGCTGGGAGATGGCGAGCTGCCGAACAGGCCCCGAGTCACAACCTACCCTAATTAAGACCTAACGTTCATTGTTTATGTGCTTCCTTCATGTCTTTACATTAGTTAAGCCTGTTATATCCACTCGTCCATTTGAATCACCTGATCATTTGATGTGCATGCAGCATGCACCCACCTATATTTATTCTTGGTCCGGATTAATCATGAGCGTGCGCGCGCACACACACACACATCGATGCACACGTGCGGACATGATTATTCGATCCATGCATCTGTTATTTGAACTTCTGCATTCAAATACGGAGTATACACCAAATAAAGTCGCCATGACATGCACCATGTTCAAACCATTGCCAATCATCACTCTCATCTCCGTTGATCATGTTTGGACCACTGTGATTGATCGCCCTCCTCTCCATTGTTACTGTACGAAATTAGATTATGTTGTGTTGGTTGAGTCTATACTTAATCAATGTCATTTAAGCACTCATGTTCGTGGTTGTCGGCGATTAATGCAACTCCTATCTTACGATCTACTAGGAGGCCGTGGAAGACACTAGAGAGAAGGGTGGTGCCCGAAGGGATCTCGCCGTGGTCTCACCGCGCGTCGCCTCCGCGTCCGCCAAGGCCCCGAATCTTGTGGCTCTGAATACCAAATGTTGGGACAGACAGAACAAAGGCTCCTCTCTCCCTCCCGAGGCGCTCCCGCGAGCGCCGTCGGGAGGCAACCCTCGCGCATCCCCTCCGGCCCTCCGCCCCACCTCCCCCTCCCTCGCCGCCGCCGGGGGCGCCGCCGGCCAAAGGCCGCATGGCTAGGCGGCGGCGGGGCGGTTTCCCCCTGCGCGCAGATGGATGGCGTCGCGGGCCGCCTCCCTCCTGCCCGCGGCGTCGGGTCCTGGCCGGCTCTTGCTCCGGCGCTCCGCCCTGCGCCCTTGTGGCCCGCCGGCGCCTCCTCCTCCCCTCCCCCTGCTGCTCGTGGGATTCGGTGGGCGAGGTCGTGCTGGAGGCGGATCTGGGCATCCCGGCCCAGATCCGGTGGATGTGCGGGTCTTCGTTGACGGGGGTGGCCGGCGACCCCGTGGTGGTGGTGGTGTGGCGGCCGGTGTCCGCGTTGCTAGTGCGGGGTGGCGGGGCTTCGGCTGGTGCTGACCAGGGCG